CTTAACCTTTCCTCATAGGGAAAGTGTTCCAACCCTTTTATCATTCGAGTTGCCCTTTTCTGCACTTTTTCCAAAGCTATAATATCCTTTTTAAGGTGTGGTGACCAGAACTGCACACAGTATTCCAAATGAGGTCGCACCATTGATTTATATAGCGGCATTATGATATTGGCTGATCTGTTTACAATACCCTTCCTAATAATCCCCAGCATAGCATTGGCCTTCTTTATTGCAGTCACACACTGTCTCGACATTTTCAGTGAGTTATCTACTACAACTCCAAGATCTCTCTCTTGATCAGTCTCTGCCAGTTCAGACCCCATCAACGTGTATTTATATTTAGGATTTTTGGCTCCAATGTGCATCACCTTGCACTTGGCCACATTGAACCCCATTTGCCATGTTGACGCCCACTCGCCCAACTTTGACAGATCCCTTTGGAGTGCCTCACAATCCTCACTGGTTTTCACCACCCCGAACAACTTTGTATCATCCGCAAATTTAGCCACTTCACTGCTTACTCCCATCTCCAAATCATTAATGAACAAGTTAAAAAGCAGTGGACCAAGTACTGATCCCTGTGGTACCCCACTGCTTACACCCCTCCACTGGGAGAACTGCCCATTTATACTCACTCTCTGTTTTCTATTAATTAGCCAGTTTTTGATCCATAAAAGGACTTGTCCTTTTATCCCATGATTTTTGAGCTTGCTTAGGAGCCTTTGATGAGGAACTTTATCAAAAGCTTTCTGGAAGTCAAGGTAAACAATATCTATTGGATCCCCCTTGTCCACATGTTTGTTCACCCCCTCAAAGAACACTAACAGGTTAGTGAGACAAGATCTTCCCTTACAGAACCCATGTTGAGTCTGCCTCAATAGGTTTTGTTCATCTATGTGCCTACTAATTCTTTCCTTAATAATGGTTTCCACCAATTTACCCGGTATCGACGTCAGACTGACAGGCCTGTAATTTCCCGGATCTCCTCTGGAACCCTTTTTAAAGATGGGAGTGACATTAGCTACCTTCCAGTCCTCAGGAATGGAGGCTGATTTTAAGGAGAGATTACATATTTTTGTCAGGAGATCCACAAGTTCACAATTGAGTTCTTTCAGAACTCTTGGATGTATGCCATCTGGGCCTGGTGATTTATCAGTTTTTAAGTTGTTTATCAGTTTTAGGACCTCCTCTCTCGTCACCTCAATCTGACTCAGGTCTTTCAACACCCCTCCTGAAATCAGTGGTTCTGGAGTGGGCAAGCACTTCTCATCTTCCACAGTGAAGACGGAGGCAAAAAATGCATTTAGCTTCTCAGCCATTTCCCTATCATCCTTCAGTACTCCTTTTACCCCTTGGTCATCCAAGGGCCCCACTGCCTCCCTGGCTGGTTTCCTGTTTCTAATGTATTTGAAGAAAGTTTTATTGTTGGTCTTTACATTTTTTGCTATATGCTCCTCATATTCCCTTTTTGCATGCCTGACCACAGACTTGCATTTTATTTGCCATAGCCTGTGTTCTGTTTTATCAGCCTCACTGTGACTAGCTTTCCACCGCTTAAAGGAATCCTTTTTACCTTTTACAGCTTCCATTACTTTGTTTGTTAACCATGTAGGCTTTTTCTTATACCTGTTTGTGCCTTTCCTAACCTGCGGAATATATTTTATTTGAGCTTCTAGAATTGTAGTTTTAAACAGTTTCCAAGCTTCCCCAATGGTTTTGACCCTTTCTACTTTTCCCTTCAGTTTCCTCCCCACATGTCCCCTCATATCAGAAAAATTACCCCTTTTAAAGTTAAAAGTGGTTGTGTGAGTCTTTTTGGCCAATTCCCTATTTGTACAAATGTTGAACTCAACAACATTATGATCACTGTTCCCAAGCGGTGCAATCACTTTTACATCTCTCACCAGGTCTTGAGTGTTACTTAGGACCAAATCAAGGATCGCCTCTCCCCTGGTAGGTTCCATGACCATCTGCTCCATAGCACAGTCATTTAGAGTGTCTAGAAACTCAATCTCTTTCTCTCGACTAGAACACATATTGACCCAATCAATGTGTGGGTAGTTAAAATCACCTATTACGACACAGTGTTTTTGTCTAGCTGCTATCTTTAATTCATTCATCATTTTATAATCCTCCTCTATCTTTTGATCCGGTGGGCGATAACAAACTCCCAGTGTTAAGTTTCCTTTTGGCCCCCCGCCAGAGGCTCGTGCCTCTGGCAAGGTGCTTTCTTAAATACTGAACTACAGTCAATCCCAGTCAAACAATGCCCTTTCCTCTCCCTCTCTCAATCAGCCAGGATTCTGCAACAACTCTAATCACTTTCACACACTCCCAAACACAGTCCTCCCGCACAATATCCTCAGCTGAATCCCCTCAGCTGAAAGCAAGTAAAAAAACACTCACCCCTATAGCAGCTCTGTCTCCTGCTCCTGCTCAGAGCTCAACTGGGTCTTCTTCTTCTTCTTCTTAGTTGCTGATTAATGTCACTTCACACTTCTAAGACATCACTTATGTTATATTGCATGTCATTTCTAAGCAACTGAGGCAAAAAAAATATTTTTTTAAGCCTTTTCAGATGAAAATACTTATCTTTCTCCCACCCACATTTCCAATTAGGGAGCTGTCATCTCCATGACTGGATAATGCTGGTGGAGGAAACTGAAATAGATCTGCTCCATTGGGCATTAGTTAGGCACTAACTAATTCCAGATTAGTATGGGTTAAGGATTCAGGCTGAAAAGATTGGAAACCTATCTGCAAATCGAGAGGATACTCTGGATGGCCTAGGCTAGCCTGACTTCGTTAGATCTTAGAAGCTAAAGTCAGTGTTGTCTTCTCAGACTACCAGCAGCTCTCCACGGTCTCAGGCAGAGATTTTTCCCATCACCTCCTGCCTGGTCCTTTTAACTGGAGATGCTGGGGATTGAACCTGGGACCTTCCGCATGCCAAGCAGAGGGGCCTCTTGTCCTTTCAACTGCAGATCCCAAGGAGCACGGGTCATTTCCTGCAGGAGTGCACAGAAGCAGAGCTCTGGAAGTAAAGAGGCCAGGGGGCGGGCACATGCAAAAAGCCACACACCCTGCTCCCAGCAGCCCTCAGTCAGAGCAAGAAGCAGCCAGGTAAGTTGCAGAGCCCCCCCTGGCCCCCCAGTCCAAAACAATCCAGTGGCACCTTTAAGACCAAGTTTTATTCAGGTACAAGCTCTCCCTCCTCTGTGAGGACAGATCTGCACATCCCCCCCCCCACTAGCTACCAATCCAAAACAGTCCAGTGGAGCCGGAGCGGTGGGTGTTGCCTTCAGACACACTTCCAGTGATGTCAGGGGTATGGCATATGCAAATAAGTTATGCTAATGAGTTGTGTTAATGAGCTCCTGCACCTCTTTTTCTACAAAATGACCCCTGCCAAGGAGTGGCTCTTCCACTGAGACACAGTCTCTCCTATGTAACTGGAACTGATGTTACACATCCTTCAATGCTTGCTCCATCCCCAAAATCTCTATGATTTAGAGATTCTGGGGATTGCTACAGAGTTGTGTTGATGCATGACATCTCTTATGACCACACAGCTGGATGTGACAACCAATCCTCCCTCGAAGCTGTGGAGTCTTGTGAGCAAAAATTCTACTGTGTGAGCTACTGGCATTAAAGTTGTGAGCAAGCAATTTGGCTGCTGCATAAATTAGTTTGCTCTGGAGCCATCCTTCCTGAGCTAAGGTAAAAATCTGTGAGCTGGAGGCTAAAAAAACTGTGAGATAGCTCACACTAACTCAGCTTAGAGGGAACACTGGTGACATCATAGAATCATGGAGTTGGAAGGGACCTCCAGGGTCATCTAGTCCAACCCCCTGCACAAGGTAGGGAATTCACTTCGTAATACTGTAATATCAAATGGGGAACCAGTGTAGATGGGTTGTAAGGAGATGTCACTCCTTGGCCAGCAACATTTGGCTGTCTGTCCCACTGGTGAAAGGTCATTGTTTGCTGTTTTGGAAATGAAAACCTGAGTCAAAACTTTCTGTCCCCCATCTTACATAGTAGCCTTGGACAAAATTACTCTCAAACAAAATTTACATTCTCCAACATGGAAATACCTATTATGATCAAAATGGATAAGAAATGTCTATGCACCAAATGTAACATTGGGAATTATGAATTAGATAATCATCTGGAGCAGAGGTCCATCAGTGGCTATTAGCCACAAGGTATAGATAGGAACTCTCGGTCTGGGGCAAGTGATGCTCTGTATTCTTGGTGCTTGGGGGGGGCAACAGTGGGAGGGCTTCTAGTGTCCTGGCCCCACTGCTGGACCTCCAGATGGCACCTGGTATTTTTGGCCACTGTGTGACAGAGTGTTGGACTGGATGGGCCATTGGCCTGATCCCACATTGGCTTCCCTTATGTTCTAAGGAACTCTCGGTCTGGGGCAAGGAATGTTCTGTATTCTTGGTGCTTTGGGGGGGGGCAACAGTGTGAAGTCTTCTAGTGTCCTGGCCCCACTGCTGGACCTCCTGATGGCACCTGGTATTTTTGGCCGCTGTGTGACAGAGTGTTGGACTAGATGGGCCATTGGCTTGATCCAACATTGGCTTCTCTTATGTTCTTATGGTTGCATTGTTCAAAGCATGGTCCACAAGAAGCCAGAGGTCACCAGTGGGCATTTACAACTCTCCTAAATTATTTCCCGTGTCAGCCTGAACTTGTGCAACAACACGCTGAATGGGTATCCAAAATTGCACATTCTGAAGTAGGTGTTCAACTTATTCAAAAGCTTGTTAGTATGAAAGAGAACAGGAAGGTGTTGACCCGTTTTAGATGCTAAGATTCCGTTGATAGGATAATAACCTTGACGGAGGGAGGGAGGGCAATTAAGGTGATTAAGACATTGCATCTGTGTGACTGATGGTGTGACATAACTGGGTTGATAATTAATTAGTATTATTTTTAAAAAATGGCTTATGGAAGGATGGGCCATAAGCAAAAGAGTCTCCCGGTGACAGTATAAAAGGACAGTCCATCTTCATCTCTCGAACAGCTTCACCTGAACTGCTCAGTCTTCAGAAAGTCAAGTAAGTTCCAATTTGACCGACTTAGTGTATCTTCAAATGCCTTTTTTGACTTTTTTTTAAAAAATGTGTTGGATCTTGCAAAACAGGTCCCTGTGGCCTTGGTTTATTCCTTCTTTTCAATGTTTTCTTCTCTCTCTTTCTCTCTCTCTCTCTTTCTCTCTCTAATGTCATGAGAAGTTGGCTAAAGGTAAAGGTAAAGGTTCCCTTGCTCGAAAGCCAGTCGAATCCGACTCTAGGCTTGCGGTGCTCATCTCCGTTTCAAAGCCAAAGAGCCAGCGCTGTCCAAAGACGTTTCTGTGGTCATGTGGCCGGCATGACTAAACACCAAGGCACACGGAATGCTGTTACCTAACCACCGCAGTGGTAGCTATTTATCTACCTGCAATTTCTTGCTTTCGAACTGCTAGGTTGGCAGGAGCTGGGGCCAGAGACGGTAGCTCAATCCGTCATGCGGTAACTCGGGTCTCGAACTGCTGAACTACTGACCTTCCACAGCCTGCAGTTCAGCATCTTAACCACTTGAGCCACTGCAGCTCCTTAAAATAAGTTCCGAATTTTTTTTCCTGCTTGGGAATTGGGCGAACTTCTACCGTTAAGCTACAGTATCAAAGTTAACAGTCCCATCCTTTCCTAACTTTAATCTTCTGACCTATGTGACAATTGAGAGGATGAAAGCTGGCATAATGAAGATCAGCAGTATGTGTAGATCGAGATGGGGAGTCTTGTTAGTCTGTCTGTAGCAGTGGAAAACAGCAAGAATCCAGGAGCACCTTCAAGACCAACAAAATTTATGGCAGGGGATGAGCTTTCAGGATTTACTGCTCACTTCTTCAGACAGATCAAGATGGGTAGCCATGTCAGTCGGTCTATAGCAGCATAAAAGAACGAGAGTCCAGGAGCACCTTGAAGATTAACAAAAATCTGTTGTGGGGGATGAGCTTTTGTGAGTCACTGCTCTCTTCTTCAGGTAGATCAAGATGGCCATGCTAGTCTGTTTGTAGCAGTAGAAAAGAGCAAGAGTCCAGGAGCACCTTAAAGTCTAGCATATCTGCGAGACCTGAAGGGCTTTACGATCTGCCAATCAACATCTTCTCATGGTCCCTGGCCCCAGGGACGTCCACCTCACCTGGAGTGGAATGAGCTCCCATATGAGAATCAGGGCCCTGCGGGACCTTTTACAGTTCCGCAGGGCCTGTAATACGGAGCTCTTCCGCCAGGCTTTTAATTAGAGCGAGGGGTGTTCCTCTCTCTTTACTGGGCCTCCACTCAACGGGTCAGATCTGCATATTAGAGTTGGCATCTGTGACGTTTTGATGTCCATGACAACGGCTCTGGATGAAGGCCATGGTGGTATTTTATTAGTGTTTTAATTGTATGAATGTATAGACTTTATTTTATCAAAATTGATGTAACCCGCCCTGAGCCTGCTATGCAGGGGAGGGCGGGATAAAAGCCGAATAAAATAAATAAAAATAAAAATAAAAAAATAAAATATGTGGCAGGGGATGAGGTTTCCTGAGTCACTGTGTGTAGTTCTGGAGTCACTCACAACAACTGGACAATAATGTAGTAGATTCTTGGTTAAACAAAATCTACATTATAAATGTTGGGGTGTATTGGAAATAGGCAGGGCTTTTTTTGTAGAAAAAGCCCAGCAGGAACTTATTAGCATAATAGGTCACACCCAACAGCAGAAACACATTAGCATATTAGGCCACACCCTAACAGATAAGTTCATTAGCATATTAGGCCACACCCCCACATTACCAGAAGTGTGGTCATCCAGCCACACCCACCTTTTGCTTCTTATTCTGTTTACCTTGTTTGTTGTCAAAACCCAGGGTTTTTTTTTTTTTTTTTGTAGCAGGAACTCCTTTGCATGTTAGGCCACACACCCCTAATGTAGCCAATCCTAATGAGTTCCTGCTGTTGAGTGTGGCCTATTATGCTAATGAGTTTTTGCTGGGCGTGGCCAACTCGAGAGCCAGCCGGAACTCCATTCCTGTGCGTTCCTGCCCAAAAATAGCCCTGGAAATAGGCATGCTACACACAGCTTCTTTTCCATTTTCCCTGTGGCTGCTTGTCCAGATGATCAAATACTGTCAATCCTGTTGAACTTCTAGCCACTTTATAACGAAAGGATCCACCGTGGACTTGTCATGAAACATTCTTAAACTGTTTTATAAAATAAATAAATAAATTAGCTCAACTAATTTGAAGCAAAGCAGGCAGAGCAGGGCCGTCAGCGACGTGTAAGAGTGGCCCCTCCGGCTGTTGCGTGTGCAATGGAAACAAGGTTCATTTAGGCTGAAGGGCTGAGGAGTTATTTCAATCGATGGAATGATGGAGGATCTCCTAGCAGGTGAAGGGAAATGCCAGTGGAGATGAGCAGAGTAACCGTGAATTGTTCCATGGGGCAACGTCATTAGAGGTGTGCAAAGTTTCCAGCTCAGTGCCCAAAGGCACTTCACCATTTCTTCCATGTTGTTTCATTTCAGATCCGACTCCATCTTAATCAAAATGAGCCTCTACAGACACCAAAGCTACTGGGACCCATGCCGTCGTGGAAGCTTCTCTTCTGGCAGCTACTATGGAGGTTCCGGCCAACGCATCTGCTACTACCCGCAGACCTCTTACAGCGGTTATGGCCGTAGCTACTACCCGCAGACCTACTGGGGTGGTTATGGCCGTAGCTACATGCCACCCCTCTACTGTGGTGGTTATGGGTATGGCCGAGGTTATTACCCACAACAAAATTATGGAGGTTACGGTTACGGTGGCCTCTACGGTCGTAGGTATGGATGGGGGTACGGATCCAGGCGTGGCAGCATGTCTTGGGGGTATGGATCCAGGCGTGGCAGCATCTGTTACGAGCCCTATGGCTACAGTTCTGGCGGCTGCTACCCTCTCAAACGAAGGTACAGCTGCAGCAGCATTGACGGACCCTGCTAAGATCTGGAGGGACATTCCAGTGAGATGCTAAAAGGAAACATGGACTCGACGACTCTCCGGATGAACTCCCCCCCCCCCCGAAGAAGTCCAATGGTTATCATCGTGTGTTCAGCACTTCTATAAATCACCCCTAGGCCTGCCTTTGCTCACCTTGCACTCTGCCTCTGATGAATAACTTTCTAATGGACACTACCTGAGTGTCTACGAAAGCCCACCGGTTCCTGTTATATCCTTTTAATCTCCTGCGGGACACCTGGACAATTGAAACATCTTTCCACGTTCCATCTGGGTTTTGTCATTCTGACTGAAGCCTGCTGTCCCTCTGTGCCGCAATCCACTTTCTGCTCTCAGATTAAAAACTTGCTTTGCATCACAAATGTCTTTCTGGTTTCTCTGGTTATCCATTCCTGATGCCCAATTCTTGTTAGGGAGATATTGGGGGGCGGGGGGGGGCTGAGAGGGAAAAGAAGAAGAGAAGAAGAGATTGGATTTATACACCACTCTTCACTACCCAAAGGAGTTTCAGAGCGGCTTACAGACTCCTTTCCCTTCCCCTCCCCACAACAGACACCCTGTGAGGTAGGTGGGGCTGAGAGAGCTCTTGACAGAAACTGCTCTTCTTCAAGAACAGCTCTTATCAGAACTATGGCTTGCCCAAGGTCATCCAGCCAGGTGCAAGTGGAGGAGTGGGGAATCAAACCCGCTTCTCCCAGATTAGAGTCCGCTCACTTAACCACTGCACCAAACTGGAAATCACAGCTTCTCTCTATGTAGTCGTGTGTGTTAATGAAGACTGCCGTCCATATCCTCCTCTTGAAGAAATTGTAATGAGTGGATGGATAGTCTGTGGAGCAAGAGAACATGAAATGGTATGTCAGCTTTAAAAGATATCATGGGAGGCTCATGGGAAGATGGGAGAGAAATATGACTCAATAGCTCCCTGTTGGATCAGACCATCTAAGAACATCAGAGAAGCCAATGTTGGATCAGGCCAAAGGCCCATCCAGTCCAACACTCTGTCACATAGTGGCCAAAAATACCAGGTGCCAGCAGGAGTTAAGATGCTGAACTGCAGACTGGAAGGTTGGTAGTTCAGCAGTTCGAGACCCGAGTACCACGTGACGGAGTGAGCTCCTGTCTCTGGTCCCAGCTCCTGCCAACCTAGCAGTTCAAAAGCAAGAAATTGCAAGTGAGTAAATAGTTACCGCTTTGGTGGGAAGGTAACAGCATTCCGTGTGCCTTGGCATCTAGTCATGCCAGTCACATGACCACGGAAATGTCTCTGGACAGCGCTGGCTCTTCGGTTTGGAAACGGAGATGAGCACCGCATCCCTTGAGTTGCATTTTGACTGGCTTTTGAGCAAGGGAAGCCTTTACCTTTACCTAAGGAGATCCAAAAACTTACAATGCACCAAGCAGAGAGCCAAGGAATGGTGGGAGGGTAAGCTAGAACCAAATGTGAGGCTGCCAAAGCAGTAGAGTTGGCCTAATAGAAGGAGAGAGAGAGAGAGTTATACCCACCCTTCACTCAGAGTCTCAGAGCAGTTTATAATCTCCTTTCCCTTCCCCTCCCCACAACAGACACCCTGTGAGGTAGGTGGGGCTGAGAGAGCTCTTGAGAGAACTGCTCTTGAGAGAACAGCTCTGAGAGAACTTGTGACTGACCCAAAGTCATGCCAGCAGCTGCATGTGGGGAATCAAACCCTTCTCTCCCAGATTAGAGTCTGCACTCTTAACCACTACACCGAACTGGCTCTCAAATAGGAGAGGGTTGGACTGGAATAAAAACCCTGCACTCAAGGTCTGCCAGGAGCTCTAATCCCCTCAGCCAGTCACTCCCATCTTTAAAAAAAGGGTTCCAGAGGAGATCCAGAAAATTACAGGCAGTAATTACAGCCATTCACTCAACTAATATCACTCACATCTTTAAAAAGGGTTCCAGAGGAGATCAGGGAAATTACAGGCCAGTCAGTCTGACGTAGATACCGGGTAAGTTGGTGGAAACTGTTATTAGGGAAAAAATTGTAGGCACACTGATGAACAAAACCTTTGTTTTGTGTGTGGGTTCTGTCAGGGAAGATCTTGTCTCACTAACCTGTTAGTGTTCTTTGAGGGACTGAACAAACTCGTGGACAAGGGGGACCCAATAGATGTTGTTTACCTTGACTTCCAGAAAGCTTTTGAAAAAGTTCCTCATCAAAGGCTCCTAAGTAAGCTCAATAGTCACGGGATAAAAGGACAAGTCCTTTTGTGGATAAAAAACTGGCTAATTAATAGGAAACAGAGATTGAGTATAAATGGGAAATTTTCTCAGTGGAGGGTGCTAAGCAGTGGGGTACCGCAGGGATCACTACTCGGCCTGATGCTTTTAAATTTGTCTATTAATGATATGGAGTTCAGAGTAAGCAGTGAAGTGGCTAAATTTGCAGATGACACAACACACTGTTCCGACTTTTCCTGTTCACACTGCAGCGACTGATGTTGGAGAATACCGGGAGGAGGCCCAAGGGAGCGTTCACACTGTTGGCCCGGAGGCACGGCTGTAAGGCACGACTTTCTTTATGGATAATCTGGAGATATGAGTTTATGCACATAACCGCACAAGAAAAATGTGGTTTTGGCGTTGACACTTTGTTGGTGCAGGACGGACACGGGATGATTGCGCTTTCCAGGGTTTTCTACCACTTTCACCAAGATAGGTTGAGTATCGGTGGGGAATGCTGGATAGATGTTCCTGTGTGAACGCCCCATTTAATCCACTTGTGAAACATTCCTCACATGCACCTATATCGGGGCAAACTGCCCATCTGAACTTGGCCTCTGTTGCGTTGAAAAAGCTGCAAGAATGAACTAACCGTTTTAATGTAATCTGAGAAGACATCCGAACACTGATAACTTCACCAAGCGGGACAGCTTGCTATTTTAGGAGATGGTTTTAAAATTGTATAAACATGGGAAGCTGAACTGATTCAGAACTTGTGTGAGACGAGAAGTTCCTTGTCTATGCCAGGCTTATCTTTGGTAAGATATTTTATGGGCTCGTATGATGGCTCCCCTTTAATTAACTATGGGGCAATAATAGATGGCATCATTTTCTTTTGAGTAGTCCGTGTTACAGAGGCAAACAGCTATGTTGCAATAAACGGTTAAAATGGAATCAAGGATCCTCTAATTGCATAGTACTCATAATGAAACAAAAATATTCTTGAGCCCTACCTCTTTCCAGGAATTAAATAATCTCATCTAGGAAAGCTATCTAGACACCCAGGAGCTCTTAAATCCACACCTGCTGTTGAAAGATACTGTATACCACTAACAAGTAATACAGGATGTAAAGATATATAAAACTCAATAAAATGCTATTTTAAAAAAATCCACACCTGTATCTGAATCAGGCCTGGCCAGAATCATTCTGAAAACCAGAAGAAGAAGAGGAGGAGGAGGGGGAGGAGGAGATTGGATTTATACCCTGCCATTCACTCGGAGTCTCAGAGTGGCTTACGAACTCCTTTCCTTTCCCTTCCCCTCCCCACAACAGACACCCTGTGAGGTAGGTGGGGCTGAGAGAGCTCTTTCAAGAACTGCCCTTTCAAGTACAGCTCTTGTCAGAACTATGGCTTGCCCAAGGTCATCCAGCAGCTGCAAGCGGAGGAGTTGAGGAATCAAACCCGGTTCTCCCAGATTAGAGTTCTCGCATTCAACCACTACACTAAACATGAATGAATTGCTATCATTCTACAGCGCAGGGCAACCAAGATGATGAGGGGGTTGGAGCATCTTTCCTCTGAGGAAAGACTGAAGAGTCTGGGACTTTTCAGTTTAGAAAAAGAGACAACACACAGGGGCATGATAGAGGTTTGCAAAAATCATGCATGGGGTGGAGAGAGTGGACAAAAGGGGGGGGGGAATCTCCCTCTCCCCAAATACTAGAACTCGAGGGCATCCAGTGAAGCTGATGGGCAGTAGGACCAGGATGGAGAAAAGGAAATAGTACTTTACACAGAGAGTGGTCAAAATGTGGGATTTGTTGCCAGAGGGTGTAGTGATGGCCACTGGAATAATGAGCTTTAAAAGGGGGATAGATAGATTAATGGATAATAGGTCTATTGATGGCTACTAGCCATGGTGATGGAGGGGGACCTCCACATTAACAGGCATTAAACCTCTGAATATCAGAGAAAGGACGCAACATCAGGGGAAGACCTCAGCCTCTCTGCCCTGTTTGTTGGCCCTCCAGAGGAACTGGTTGACCACTGTGTGAGATGGGATGCTGGACTAGATGGACCCTCACTGTTCTGATCCAGCAGGGCTCTTCTGATGTTCTTTTTTTTTTTTTGGTACAAAACTTTTATTTTTTGGATATAATATCACATTTAACATTGGCTTTCACTTATCCAATACCCATATTTCCCTTTCCCCCCTCCCTTGCTAGTGGCTTCCCGGAGTGCTCGACCCTTTGTGCTCTTCTGATGTTCTTATGAGGGGAAGGCCTCGGCCTCTCTGCCCTGTTGCTGGCCCTCCAGAGGAACTGGTTGAGGCCCCTGTGTGAGACAGGATGCTGGACTAGATGGACCCTCACTGTTCTGATCCAGCAGGGCTCTTCTGATGTTCTTATGAGGGGAAGGCCTCGGCCCCTCTGCCCTGTTGCTGGCCCTCCAGAGGAACTGGTTGAGGCCACTGTGTGAGACGGGATGATGGACTAGAGGGACCCTCACTGCTCTGACCCAGCAGGGCTCTTCTGAGGTTCTCCTCAGGGGAAGGCCTTGGCCTCTCTGCCCTGTTCTTGGCCCTCCAGAGGAACTGGTTGAGGCCACTGTGTGAGACGGGATGATGGACTGGATGGACCCTCACTGGTCTGACCCAGCAGGGCTTCTCTTATGTTCTCAACTACCACTCGTGTTTTACAGTTTAGATTTGGCTTAACAGTCACCTTCTTTCTCTTCTTTTCTTCCTAGAATTCTTGGTAAAGACATTGAAAGGACTGCCTGGTGAAGCATTAGACTCCTTCCCTGTCTTCTTCTCTTTTTCATGTCTATGAAGCTTTTTCACATCTATGAATACACAGGCTAAAACACCAGCTTGCATCCAATGCTCCCTCCAAGATGTGGAGTCTTGTGAGCAAAAATTCTGCTTTGTGAGCTACTGGCATTAAAGTTGTTATTGAGCGACTTGGCTGCTGCATAAATTAGTTTGCTCTGGAGCCATCCTTTCTGAGCTAAGGCAAAAATGTGTGAGCAGGAGGCTAAAAACTGTGAGCTGGCTCGCACTTACTCAGCTTAGAGGGAACACCGCCTGCAATCAGGGTTGAAGACGTGCACCTGTGGGGATGCTTAAATATACATACTGTGGCATGGGTCTCTTTTGGGTAACAGATGTGATTGCAGCCCAGCAAATCATGATTTGAAATGTATGGAAAACTTTCCTCAAGCTATCAATTGCAGGAAAAGGCTAAGAGTCATGGCAAACTTTCTTTCAAGGGAACTGCTTCAGAATGACTGATCCCGTCGACTAGGAACCACAGTTTTCTTTATTGGAGCATCATTCCCTAACTTCAACCCATCCTCCTCCTAATATCACCTGCCATTCACACAGTATTTCCTCTCACTGGACTGCAAACACAACCAGTTGCCTTCTCCTTCTGTTTTCCTCCATGGAAGACATTCATTGCCCTTCTAGAGAGAGAGAAGATACACCAGAGACATCCAGAAAAGCAATCTTAATGCAAAGCAAGCTTTTAATTTGAGAACAGAGATTGGATTACAAAAAATGAGCAACTGCAGGATTCAAACCAAAGAACAGCATGGAAATATTGAAGGGTGAATCCATTGTCAAGGTGTCCTGCAGAATTGGGGTGGGGGGGACCCACTGGGCTTTCATGGACATGCACGGACTGTCCATTAGAGAAACAGTCATTAAAGGCAGCATGGTGTGCGCAGAGGCGGGCATAGGAGTCATTTAGACAACTGCTGAATGCACGATAATAACCATGGGAATTCCTTTGTGTTCAGCATTTCGGGGGGGGGGAGAAAAAGTTCAGCTGGAGAGTCATTGGGTCTGTCGTTTAACATCTCATCAGAAGTCCACTCGGGTGTTTAGCAGGGTCCGTCAATGCTGCTGCAGCTGTACCTTCGTTTGATAGGGTAGCAGGGCTCGTAACAGATGCTGCCGCGCCTGGATCCGTACCCCCAACACATGCTGCCACGCCTGGATCCGTACCCTGATCCATACCGACGGCCGTAACCGTAGCCCCCGTAATATTGTTGTGGGTAACAACCCCGGCCATAGCCGTAGCCATAACCACCCCAGGAGGACTGTGGGTAGTAGCTACGGCCATAACCGCCATAAGAGGTCTGTGGGTAATAGCAGATGCGCTGGCTGGAACCTCCATAACAGCTCTGTGGGTAGCAACTACGGCCATAAGACGGGTAATAGGAGATGCGTTGGCTGGAACCTCCATAACAGCTCTGTGGGTAGCAGCTACGGCCATAAGATGGGTAATAAGAGATGCGTTGGCCGGAACCTCCATAGCAGCTGCCAGAAGAGAAACTTCCACGACGGCATGGGTTCCAGTAGCTTTGGTGTCTGTAGAGGCTCATTTTGATTAAGATGGAGTTGGATCTGAAATGAAACAACATGGAAGAAATGTAAGGAGATTTTGGCCTCTGAAGGGGAAGCTTCACACACATCTAACCAAGTTACACCATCGAAGAATCTAGTTGTTTTGTTTCATATCTGCAGACCCTTCCCTTCATCAAGGCCCTGCTAGTAGATTCACCAACATTTGACAGATTGAAATCACTCTTCAGCCCTTCAACCAAAATTAACCGTATGTCATCCTGGCCCCTTCTTGGGCTTGTTTGTCATGGAGACTGGGGAGGAGGGGAGTGAACAAGAATGTTTACTTTCGTTTCTACTCTCTATGCTGTTATCTGTCTTGACTCGGCCATGTACCCTTGAGACCTAACTATCCCTGGTATCCTCTTTCCCCTGAAAATTATGTGCTGTTATTCAGGCGGGCTTTGAGCTTAGGTACGATTGGCCCAGGGCCATTGATACCCTGTTTGATTTAGGTATAGTTACGTGTTTCACACGCTTGGCCTCAGTTCTAACAAGGAATCGTTAAGAGTCTGGGACCCATTAATGTCTCAATAAACTTTTTCTGAATGACTGCTGTTGGGAACTGATTGCTCCAGTGGCTCTGACACCTTATTCTTCCTGAATGGACAACAGCCAAAGGGGCCATTCTTACACATTGCTGAAGGCCCTGCTCAGCCTGGTTTATGTTAAAATGGCTGTGTTAACTTAGAGCTATAAAATAGCTTAATAATGCTTAGTAGCATGTCTCATAGTTAATCCTGTTATTATCAACTGGCTGAACTTTCAGCACCTTCGGCAGTGTGTAATATCTGGATAATATCTGGATCTATGGGAATGAAGGAAGGGACACAGTGTACTCGCTTTTGGTGGTCCTTAAGATGGGTAGCTCTAATATTATTACTATTATTATTTGGTTATTTGTAGTTTGCCTTTCTTGGTAAGACTCAAGGTGGTTTATGTAGTATGAGTCAAGTATGATCAATGGGATGGGACATCTGTATGAATGTAAAAGAAGCCATGTTGGATCAGGCCAGTGGCCCATCCAGACCAACACTCTGTGTCACACAGTGGCCAAAACCCAGGTGTTATCAGGAGGTCCACCAGTGGGTCTAGAACTCCAGTAGCCCTCCCACTGTTGCTCCTCAGGCACCAAGAATACAGGGCATCACTTCCCCAGACATAGTGTTCCACCTATACCTTGTGGCTAGCAGCCACTGATGGACCTCTGCTCCATATCTTTATCTAATCCTCTCTTGAAGCTGCCTAGGCTTGTAGCTGCCACCACTTCCTGTGGCAGTGAATTCCACATTAATTCCTCTTTGGGTGAAGAGGTACTTTCTATTTTCTGTTCTAAACCTAATGCTCATTAATTTTATTGAATTCCCACGAGTGCTTGTATAGTGAGAAATGAACATTGCAGTGAACAGTACAATAGGGTCTTGACTACAGAAATCTGAAGACAAAACAGAAATCTCAAACATCTGAACGTTTTGTAGAAACCACCTAGTCTGGAACATCCTTACTGTGATAGGCAGCAATATAGTAGCGAAAGCCACGGTCCCTTGACCGATGACACTAACTGACTGTTCTGTTACCATACCGTCCTACGTACCTCTGCAAAAGACCTCTTGGATTATTCTGCTTTTGCATAGTTTGCAGAAAGCCAGTATAATCATGGAATCGCAGAGTTGGGAGGGGCCACACAGGCCATCTAGTCCAATCCCCTGCTCAGCGCAGGATCAGCCCAGAGCATCCCTGACAAGGGTTTGTCCAGCTGCTGCTTCAAGACAGCCAGTGAAGGGGAGCTCACTACTTCCTTTGGTAGCTGATTCCACCATTGCAAGACTCTGACTGTCAAAAAGCATTTCCTACCATCCAGCCAGGTACCTTCTCACCTTTAATTTAGACCCATTATTGCGTGTCCTCTCCTCTGCTGCCAACAGGGACAGCTCCCTGCCCTCCTCTCAGTGACAGCCCTTCCAATACTTCAAAAGAGCACAGTAGAGTAGGACCTTTCCTAACCTCATCAGGGAGGCCATTCCATGGGGTGAGGGCCACAAAGGAAAATGGCCAACGTTCCCCAACATACAAAATATAGCCTCTATTTAACCTGGAGTCTACTAGTTTATCATCCAGGTGTTCTGAGCGCCCCCTGAACTTCACATCAGTCTTTATCCTAAGTTGATGGACTCACTTCTTATGCCACGCTGATCAGATTTGTACCAATTCTTGAGCCTAACTACAGTTCTGAGAAGCTGTGTTTTTTTGCCCTCCCATGAGCTCCTATGTTAGACAAAGACACCTGGCAGAGTTCAAGAGGACATATTTCCTGTAGAGAGTGTTGAGGCTTAGAGTCTTAACGCCTAACCCAGAAGATATGTACACAGATGCTATTAATAACCCCTTTCAATTTACTTCTCAAATCCACATTGCCCGTTTGGAGTTCAACATTCAAGATTCTAATTGCCATGATTATTTCAAAGGTTAAAGTTAGGAGAAGGAAGCGGATGTGGACTTTAGGGGCCATAGCTCTGTGACCCAAGGCCACAAAGTTCCAAAGCAGGAAGAATTCAGGTATTTATTTTAAGGCTTGCGGCCAGTATTCTCATGAAATGAGAGACAGACAGAGAGAGAAAGAGAGTGGCAGAGACAGACACAGAAAGACAGGGGGAGAGCAGGAAGTGTTTTAAGGAAAGAAAGAAATGAAGACCACCGAAGCCTGTCTTGCAAGACGCAACCACATACTAAAAACGTCATCGTCACAGAAGTATTTCAAGATGTGCTAATGCAACTGGATCAAAAGGGAACTTACCGGGTTCCTGAAGAAAGAGGCACAAGTGAGGTTGTTGGATGATGGACTGAAGTTGGACCGTCCTTTTATATGCTCCCAGTAGTTTTGTTATGACCCATTTCCTTGTGCAACATCTTAAAATCCTAATTATCTACCCATGCATGCCAGGCTCACTCACACAGATGCAACATCTTAATTGCATTAATTGGTCTTCCTCCCTCCTCTGCGGTTAGTAGCCTATCGAAAACAACTTGGCAACCGAGACCCGCCAACACCTTCCTGTTCTCTTTCACATTAGCAGACTTGGGCGTGAGTTTACTACTTGCTTCAGGATGGGCACTCATAAATTTTTGAACTGGAATCGGCAAATCACTTGGGAAGATTTGAAAATTCCCAGTTGGTTACCTCTGGCCTTCAACTGGCCATGTCCCCCCACAATTCTGACTATAAGAACAGAAGAAGAACCTTGCTAGGTCAGACCAGTGGTCCATCCTGGCTCGCACAGTGGCCAACCAGTTCCTCTGTAAGGCCAACAACAGGGCATAGAGGCTGAGGTCTACCCCTGAGAAGAACATAAGAAGAGCCCTGCTGGATCAGACCAGTGGGCCATCTAGTCCAGCCTCCTGTCTTGTACAATGGGCAATCAGTTCCTCTGGAGGGCCAACAACAGGGCATACAGGTTGAGGTCTACCCCTGAGAAGAACATAAGAAGAGCCCTGCTGGATCAGACCAGGGGACAAGGACTCCCCCGCCGCACAATATAAGTGACTTGGCAACCCTATCTACCACTGATTCACAGCTCTTTTCTGTAATAACATTTTCTTATTTATTTATTCTTTGGATTTATATCCCGCCCTCCTTGAAGGCTCAGGGCGGCTAACAAGGGCATAAAATGCCAGATTATAACAATAAAACAATATAAAATACAATAATACAGAGTACTACAGTTAATTAAAATTGATAAAAATAAAATCGGTGCTCCAATACTCACTCTGAATCATACAACCAAGGTGGTGTTCTCAAGATGTTATAACTGAACCACAACAGTGATATACATCCCCACAACCCTGTCATCCACTAGGGACAACCCGCACCCCCGATGATATCCGCACCCGCGGTGGTAGAGTGCGGTGATGGAAAGGTGTTGATGGAATAATGGTCGCGGCGGCAATGAATATGCATATTGTGTCCCTCCCTCGGACTAGCATGGGTATCTCCACCTTGACTCTTATACACGTGAGAGCAAGGGGGGGAGCCTTATGCTAATTCCCTCCTCCCTCTTGGGGCAGGCTATTCAGTGCCTGTTACCAAGAGACCAAAGAGTTGCTGTTACTCAAACATATGCTTTCGCCTTAGCCCGGAAACATCCGGAGATTCCCGAGGACACCGCGAAGCCTCAACAGCCCCAAGCCTCCCCGTGTAGACTCAATGTATAGCGTGCCTCCCTCCTGCTCCCGTGCAACCCCGAAAGCAGTCAACCAGCAGAGACCAAGCCGCAGGAGGGAAGACGAAGCAATGCGTGTAACTTTTAAACCTTTTTACATGAATCTTAAAACATATGTCTTAGGTGGCTTAGCTACCGTATTTATCTTATTAGTGATGTATTGGATGTTTAGTGTGCTAAGTGAGCAGAACTTAGACCGTTCTCTCTTATAATTATCTTAGAAATAGTTGGTTTTAATAATTTTTTTTTAAGTAACACAATGATAAGTTATTTCTATGCTTGATGCTATGGGATATACAGTACCTACTCACATGCACAGGCCACTTCTGGCATAATTGGCATTCTTGTAGGCAAGCTTCCTTTTCCCGCTAGTGTAGATTAGGACACCTGGGACAGGGCACCGGTTCCAGAGACCTCTGTTCCAGATGCCGCCTGCTCCAGATGACTACGCCTGTTCCAGAGGAGAGATGAGTGTTCCAGTGGACTCTGTGCGAGTGTGTATGTGTGACCCATTTGCCTGACGTCTTCAGGGTCACAAGGGGGGGAATTGTAAGCCTGCACGCCTGCCATGGTGTTTTTATGAACTGAGTTACTGTACCTGATGAAGTGTGCCATCGCTGTACCTGATGAAGTGTGCCAATGACAGACTGTGCCAGAAACTGACATGCTGTGAGCTCCCAATAGGATACATACCAGAGACACTGTTTCCTCTTATGGTTGCTATTCCTGAGGTGTTCCCATGTCCAGCAAACGCCATTTTGTTCTAAGCACAGGGCCACAGCAAGCAGCAGACTCCATTTTGTTCCAAGCACATGGTCACACAAAAGCAGCAGACTCCATTTCAAACCAGCCACCTGGTCACATACCTGAAACCCCCCTCCCCCTCGCACCAACGGACAGCACGTCCTCACAAAGACTCTCTATTCAACCTGGCCTCATGGCGATGAGTCATACATCTACATGCGAATACCCCTAGCCCAGGTGTCTTGATTGAGTTAGTCACTAGATCTCAAATTGCCCTCCAGTTTCCAAGCCCTCCCAGAGAATTACAATAGCCAATCCCAGACCTCTTGGCTATGACAGACGCCTCACCACAGGTGAGGTCTCCTGGCCCCAGCTCCTCCCCTGACCCTGTTTGATATAATCAGGAATGCACCTCCAGTTCGCTCTCTTGAGCATTCTACCTGAAACCCCCCAGCGCTCTCAAACTACGTCCTCTATTTAACCTGCTTTACCCTTCAATCCAGCTTTCTATCCCAAATCCTTCCCATCCCTCTCTTTGTTCTAGCAGTGCACAGCTAGAACTTCTTAGCACGTGGTCTTAGCTGGTCTGAGTCCATTCGCTATTCTTTTCCATTTTCTCCCCATCCTTACCCCTTCGCTTGAAGTTTGGAGCCACGCAGAAGCAGCCAGGTAATTATACCCCAAAGCATCAACCAACGTTACCTGCAAACTGCAACTGTGCTTAATTATTCTCTCTGTATTTCCTAGTTCTTGTGTGTTGTGGTTGTTGTGTGCTTACTGTGTGAAGTGTGCTAGTAAACAATTATTATTATTAAGAAGTCTGCCTCAGTCTCTTATTGGGGACCTCAGAATCAGTGCCATCCTCCGTAAACAAAGACGGTTGTTCCCGAAGTTAAAAACTGTACCAATTGTTTCCTTTTTGGAGCAATTCGGCTAACACCTGAATCCCCACGTCGGCATGGTGGTGGGTCAGCAACTGATGGCCGACAGATCCAACAACAACAGTGCCGCCACACCGCCTCGATCCAGATGCCTACGGAGATTGTCAGTCAGAGTGACCAGTACAGTCTCCGTTCCATGACCAGGGCGAAAGCCGGACTGGAAGGGATCGAGGACAGAAGCATCATCCAGAAACCCCTGCATCTGTATCACCACCGCTCTCTCAATACGTTTGCCCAAATAGGGCAAATTGGACACCGGCTGATAGTTGGCCAATTTGGCCGGGTCCAAAGATGTTTTTTTCAAGAGAGGGTGGACCATCGCTTCCTTGAGTGCCCTGGGGAACCGTCCCTCCAAGAGAGACTTGTTTACAATCTCCCTCAGGGAACCTCAAAACCCCTCACAATCCATTTTAATGAGCCAAAAGGGGCACGGGTCAAGGTCTCATATGGTTAGGCGCACAGATACGACCAATCTGTCAACTTCCTCCAGGCTGAGTGAGCTAAAACTCACTAAACCCGGCACCAAAGACATACAAGGGGCCTCAAGTTCGCTCACTGTATCAATTGGGGCGGGGAGGTCACGGCGGAGCATCAAGACTTTCTCTGCAAAATAGCTTGCAAATGCCTCACAGCCGATATCCAATTCCCTCACGTTTTGCCTGCCCTGTGACAGAGCTGTCAACGACCGAATCGTACTAAATAATTGTGCTGGGCGTGAGCTAGCAAATGCAATCATGGTCGCATAGAACTCCCTCTTTGCGGCCTTGACTGCCATCTCATAGGATCTCATAAACGTCCTATAGGATGTTCTTGAAGCCTCGTCGCGAGCGCGACACCACTGTCTCTCTAGTCGTCTCAGTTCTCGTTTCAGCCGGTGCAACTCCTCAGTATACCAGGGCACCCGCCTAACACGGGTTCGGAGAGGACGCCTGGGAGCAATCTCATCGATGGCCGTGGAGAGCCAGTCATGCCAGTCCTCCACTAGCTCATCCAATGAGCTGCCAGGGGGCTTTGGATCCCGCAAAGCCATCTGGAGCCGCATAGGCTGGAACCAATGGTGTCCATAGTAACCGAAAGGAGGCTCCATATACAGGAAGATGCCTCCATTCTAAATACCACTGCTGGAAGGCAGCCACAGCAGAGCAAATCAGCCTCTTTGGGATGCCCTCAGTGTTTGGTCCTTTAGGGCAGCTTGTTGGCTACTGTGTGAAATATGTTGGACTACATGGAATGGCTCTTATATACTTATGCAAGTTTTTATCTTTGCTTCCCTTGAAAAGCTAGTTTTCTATGTGTAGGAAGTGTTCCCCCCCCCCCGCCATGTGGACCCTGTCTGAACTGGTATGGCCCAGATGCCGCTGGATCACAATTAGGCCTTAGTTTCAGCTGGGCCATTTCAAATCATTGCAGTAGCTGCTGTTGTTGAATCAGGTGTGTACTTGTCAAGAGAGAGATACAGTGACAGCAAACAGAAGTAATGGTTTTGATGTTGTACTCAGCTAAATCTATTCTGGCCCAAAGGTGGAATGCAAGAGGAGTTCCAAGTGTATCTCAGTGGTATTCTAAATTATGGGATGTTATCATAGCAGATAAGATTTCGACTCAACTAAGAGTGGCTCAAGGAATGTTAAAAACTAACAATTTTATAGACAAATGGTTTATATTTTTTTCTGAATATGTTACTACGAATCAAAACTTAAAATGTATACTTCCACACAAATACGTGGAAATAATGCCTTATTAATAAAATGATAGTTATTGAATTTATAATTGTTATTATAGTGTAATGTAACCTTGATTGTTATTAGAAAGTTATAGTTTTAGTTGTATGGTTGTGTTGTTTGAAATTTCAATTTAAAAAATTACACAAAAAAAAGATAAGGGAAATCTGATGTAGGAACGTGCACTTGAAAAGGAGCTTGGAATTTCCCAGTTTCTGAGAAGGCTATCTGTAT